CGTGACCCTGCGGTCTCCTCCTCGTGTGGCCTTTCGGATAAAGATATAAATCGCGATGGGCCCCTGGCTTGCCACTAACATTCCCAGCAGCATGCCGTTCCTACCTTTCACATAATTTTCTCTCCGCGAGCGACAGTTTTCTCCTAAAAAATCACAAAGGACATTCCATTTTTGCATTCTGAACAATGCTGTAGGAGGTTTCTCAATGTCTGCTCTTTTTGTTCAGGACCCCTGCTGGCTCGTTTTAACTGGCACCACCCTATGTGATTATATAACGTGGTCCAAGTGAGTAGTCGCCTACAATTATGGAGACGACCTCTTTGAAATTTTCTGTTGTGCCGATGCATTTCTTAACTACTGTGCACCAAGAGGGAGTTCAGAGGAGTTTCTCCTTATTTCCCTTAATACAATTAAGTTGAATTGACTTGATATAAACGTGAGGAACGGTAGGGTCCGAAGTGTAGGGATTAGCATTTTTTATTGGCACCAATTCCAAGATGCTATTTGAAATAGTGACATAAAGACACAATTAATTTTTACATTGTCCATGTCGAAGAGATCCTGTCAGTTCCTAAGCAATTCTTCTTATCTTACACGCTTTCTGAAAATGCAGGCACGTTGAACTCTTCCTCCTTGGTCATTTAAGGATTTTTTACTGCCTCCTTTCTAGTTCAGTATTAATTACAAAGCATCGCCAAATATTGTCCTAAAAGGATAATGTCTGCTGATATTATTCAAAATTTGAATCTGCGTACGTCGTTTTTTGTCTATCACGTAACTAATTTTGAATAGATAGTCCGTTCCTGGCGCTAACAAATATACATTCCAAATTTCCAATAACGACCATCAGAGCAACGCTTTCATATGTACGAATTTTGAAGACTTTTACAAAGAACAGGGGTTGTACTATATTCGTTGGTTAACTTTCGTCAAGAAGCAGGCTTTATGATATCATACGTTCTTCAGTTAGGAGATAACTTTGCACACAATACTTCGATTCACATATTGCGGTGCGTGAAGAAGAGGTACTACGGTGTGGTCCATTCTGAGGACAAATTATAAGACTATCCTGATTTTCACGCAGAAAGTCAATGTATTCTTCTTGGCGAACCTTAATTGCTCGTAGAAAGCGAGTATGTTCATCTGGACACGCCACGAGATTAAAAGCTAAAACCGCTCGGGCGACATTTTCGAAGTGTATGCTTATCAGTACACACTACATATCTATCCTGTTTCATTTCGGGGCTATTATCAATACACCTCTAGTTCAAACAGCATTGGAAAAAGCACGTATGGTTATTGCGCGAAGCGTTCCTATAACTATCCATGCGCCTTGTTGGCCGTTTACAGGATAATGTGGATATTGTTTTACTGTGTAGCGATTATATATATGACCTAAAAATGACAATTCGGCGCTTTTCGAAATCATGCTTCCAGTATGGGGAGTTCTGAGTGTCATAGGTGGATTTTTTTACCACCTTTCTGTAGGTTACTATTATTCTGTCGGTAAGATGTTTATTATTATGATTTTCCTTTATTTTGGACATTGGTTTTGGACGCATTTGTATATAACTGTCTTTTTGCAATACAATAAATATTGGAGGCTATGACACAGTTAACATATGGCTTGAAAAATATATTTTGCTATTGAATTATAGGGAACATGAATTCGTACGTGATTTCATATATGGGAATAACTAAAAGTCAGAGCGCGTGGTTCTCTTCTGTCATTATCGCCTTTCAAGCCATAGCCTTACCACTGGGTGGCTTTATAGCGAACAAAGTTGGATTCAGAATTGTTGTTATTTTGGGAATCATTTTGTCCAGGTAAGTTAATTTAAAAAGTGTTGAATAAATCCGAAAATCGGATCACGTTTTTTTAAGAATCGTTAAAAATCTGTGATATTTGATATGGCATTAAATAACTTTGTTAAATACTTAAACAATTATTTATGTTATCTTCATTATGCACAGATTTAAGCATATTTGTCTAACACATACTGAAGGCTGTTTTGTTTTTTTTTTTTGAAGAAAGATAGAAAATGGCAGAAATATGCATAATCCGCCCTTGTGAGAGGCTTGTCTATGAATTTCGGTCCAGTTCAGTACACACTTTCGATAAGGCTCACGGGAACGACGAAAAAAAATTTAGGAAAAACCTTAATAAAACATGTCCTTCAAAGTTCCAATAGTCAGCCATTTTCTAAGAGCTCTTAGCTCTTAAGAGCTAGCTCTTAGCCCTAGGGTATAGGACGATTAAGTCATCTCAACATTTAATTAATTCTTATGATCATTGCAATTACAGTACTAGGCATCCAGGTCTGCATCTCAGTGATAAAAAGGAAATTGAAACCTCATATATAAGATTGCTACTTAAGCCTAGTATAATGGGCACTGACTACACATATTCATGCTCGTGCAATAATAATTTAAAAAATTGTTTAAAAAAATTGGATGTTTTTTTCTTTTTAGCGGAGGTATTTTTTTAACGCGACTGACAGTTAACTATGGTCTTGGACCATATATTATTACTTACTGCGTTATGTATGGACTTGGTAATGGGTTTCCCTATTCTGTCATATTTCAAGTTGCATCATCTGTAAGTCCCTTTTCAGAAATCTTTGATTTATCTGAATTATTGTTTCTTTCTATGAAAATTCTGTGTACGCTCTTTATATTTCAGTGGTTTCCCGGAAAACGAACTACCGTTGTCGGGATAATTTCAGCAGGCCTGGGTTTAGGAGCTCTGGTGTTTACACCTATACAGACCGAAATAATAAATCCCGATGATCTGCAGCCAGATGCAACAGGGTATGATCTCAGGTGTTGAATAGTTAAACTGAAGGTTATCAAGAGTATGAATCGTCCGCAGTGCCAACTAAACCTCTTTTTTTCCAACTGAATACTAGAAAATATCCCGCAGTCGTCAATCAGCGCGTTCCCAACTCTTTCCTCATCCTTGGAGGAATCCTTCTTGGATGTCAATTGATCGCATTACTCCTTTTAAGAATGCATACCGAGGTACTTAATCATTCAATGCCTTTATCTTCCCTAAGTATTAATTATTTTTGCTGAACACATATTATTATTAAATGTGGCACCATTGTTCTTGTTTTTTAGGAGGGAAAGAAGGAAGAGGAATCTTTCAGCAAGTAAGAGATAAAAATGCGCCATAAAGTTTTTCTAATTGCGTTACACAGTTATTGTTTTTATATGGCTTTCCTGAATAAAATGGTTTAATAGTTCCACAGAATCTGAACAGAATGAAGAGAAAAACTCTGCAGATATGTCCAGCACGTAAGCCACATTTTAAAAATAGTCAATATTCAAATATGAAATGTGATAGCCCAACTTACTCTTTTATTGTATTTAGAGAAGAACGCGAGGAAACTGTTTTACCGGAACAAGAAATAAAGAGTTATTCTGTGAAAGACGCACTTAAATGCATCGATTTTTATATATTATTTACTGTTTCGTTCTGTAATGTAGCTGCCGTGGTTCTATTAACTTCGACTTACAAGGTACGCTGACAACTCAAAATAGTCGCCTTCACTATTTTTGCGAATACGTTTTGTTTTGCGAAATCGTAAAATATCCATGTTAAGTATGTTAAGTGGAAGATAACTACAAATAATTTGCTTTACATGGTCAAAGATAATAGCATATGTCCTTTACTTGAAATATGTAAGGTGATTTTAAAAGCATCTCTATTTTAAACTTTTTCCTTTCACCCAGCTGTACGGTCTTGAAAATAATTTCAAGGATACCTTTCTCGCCGGCATCGTTATGGGCGGTTCTATTTTCAATTGCATCGGCCGAGTTGTATGGGGTCTCATAACTGATCAATTTTCATACAAGGTAAGTCTGCCAATTAAATGAAATGCTCTTATGAACACTGTGCTCATGTTTAGTGAACTTGATTGGTGATATTTACTGGTACCGATCTCAAAACATGCGACCACAGTGACTTTAAATACATTTTTGTGGCAGCTTAATCAAATTCTGAGTCTCATCTGCTGCAAGATCTCAAGCTCCGCAAGATTTACTACGTAAAAGAATCAACAATTTTAAATAGAAATAATAGTGTGATTTATAATGTACCATGTATAAACTTAGAACAAATTATTTTCTCGACAATTTTCAAAGCAGTAAAACTACTGTTTGACAGGTCTGATATAATTGACAGATGAGATAAAGAACAAAATAATGAAAACCAACGAAAAAAACACCATAGTTTTACATTATGACAGTGTATGATCGCGCACACCTGCTGTACGTTGGGAGAAAGACAACTTTTCTGCTTCAAAAAAGTAACATTTGATCAGCAGAACATGCTATTTCGGCAAACACGTTGTTCGGTGGTGGTTTTTTAATCAAAATGTGATTCCGTGCTTTGCCCCGGTGTCCCTTAATTAACTGAAGGAGATGATAACTGGAATTGAGGTCAGGACAGTTCACAGGAACAAAAACTTTTTGCAGACCGCAGATGGAACTGCGAGCTGTAGTTTCAAGAAAGCTAAATCATAATCATGAGCATTATCTTGCATTTCGTGTTGTTGAATGCAATTGTAACGGAAGGCACAATTAACTAAGTCGATAAACCCCTTTCTCGTTGACGAAAATTCACCTGACCGCGCACGAAAATCATCTGCCCCACTCTGCCGTGAGCCTCGACAGAGGCCCTGACAATTGGCAACATAGGCATATAGTCTTGTCGGCAAAGACCAGGGTGACTGGAACGGCCATTTGTGGTTTATAGGCTGTGTTACCCTACGCAAACCTCGAACTCGCAACCCCTTTATCCCAGGTAAACGCCTTAACCATTAAGTCACAAGCGCGTTGTCTCGCTGTCCCGCTTATGGTCTCTCTTGCCGACCACCAGATCGGTCGCCATCTTAATTTGATGGCCACCCAATCCACCGGTTGTCGAGAATGCTTTAGTATTGGTGTCCGTACCGTATTGATTCGAAGGAAGTTCTTACCACTATCTGAGCCGACTGCAGAGTCTTTTCTATACGCATATGCGTGAAATCTATGCATCCATTCTGTTCAGTCGATTAAAAGATAATCTCTAGGCCTGTAGGTCGGGCGAATTGATTGATTATTAGCGGACAGTCCTGTGTAGTGCAGACGGCTGTATTGTGCCGTCAAAATGTCCTAAAGTTTTTAAAATTATTCAAGTTTCACATTTTTTCAAGTATATGCGTAAAACTGAACCTCCGCCGTGTCCATCGTCTTTATCAGCTTTAAAAGACTAGGTGGGATGAATGTAAACATTCTACAAAGCAAACTACTTTAAACGTGGACCCTTACCTTATTTGCCACTCATTTGCCTGAAAAAAGGGGACGCGCAGTCCAGTTTCTTTTCCTCCCATTGTAGGGCCCAATGATGATGTTCCTTTCCATGTGGACATTTCTGTTTATCACATTTCCTTTTGTTGCCGCCGGACCTGCTGGCATCTACCTGTACTCAATCTGGGTGCTGCTCCTGTTTTTAAATCTCTCGGGAAACTTTGTCATTCTGCCTGGGGCGTGCAATACCCTGTTCGGACCAAAAAACTATGCCATTATTTACGGTCTAGTTTACGGAGCAGCTGTACGTTACCGTCATGTTTGCTTATTCGTTTGCTTTTTAGAAATTTTAGGTTCCTGAATTATAAAATTATGCGATAAGGTGTTTGTTTTCCAAGAAATGAAGGTGCCCATGGTTTTCTGACAAACATTTAGATTCGAGATACTAAATATAATAACTACGGTGGTCCATTGTATTTCGGGCCTCTACTCCTCCTATTCTTATCGGCTATTTTTCAATTCCTAATGTCTAACGATGAATTGCTGTAGGAGTTCGAAACCTTCGATGAATAAAAATCTGCGAACGATTCGTTAACTCTCCAGTCTAATTGAATCTATCGCGATGCGCTAAAAGTGGTAACTTGGTAAGCTCTCAGCTGACAGGGTAGATCCGGCCTCTCGAGGATCCAGGCTTCCGGTGGCCTGATACATATGGAGTGCGGACCGTCTGATGTGTCGGTTTTTTGTGGCCGCGGACCGTTTAGTTTTACCATACATTGTGCACACACTCACCTTCTGGCTACTCAAAGAAAGAGAGTTTGCAGTAGATGCATGTACCTAAATGGCGTGTCGAGCACTGGATCAATTGGTTTATCGTCCTCAGCTTTCGACCTCTTACAGGAGTCCATATTCAGAGGTGAGATGCAGTAACCGAAAGGGGAGTTATTATAATGACCATAGGCCAAGCAACTGTCAAAAGTCATCAGGTTGGCAAGGGGTTAGAAACAGCAATCAAGAACGATGAAGTGCGCTAATTAGCTGAAAGCGGCGTCCTCACAGTAGAGTGTTCTGTTAACCCTTCCTCATTTTTCGGCCAGTTCGTCGTGGGGTTCTCCTTGCTTGC